CGCCTCCGCGTCCTCTACCTCCTCCGCCGCCGCCGCCCGCATTCCGTTTCCGAGGGCGCCCGGCGCCACCGGCTGCCAAAGAGCGGAGGTTCCGTTTGAGGTCGTCTAACAAGCCGCCGCCGCCGCCGCCGCCGCCGCCGCCGCTGCCGCCGCCTCCGATGCCGCCTCCTCCGATGCCGCCGCCGCCGCCTCCTCCTCCTCTTCCGATGCCGCCAGGCTTCCGCTTGAGGGAACTGAAGCCTCCGCCCCCGCCACCTCCGCTTCCGCCTCCTCTGCCTCCTCCTCCTCCTCCGCCTCCGCCGCCTTCTCCTCCTCCGCCGGTGCTGAGGACTTGGACGGGTGGCCTTCGACGACCAGCGCTGCCGAGGCCAAACTCTTTGCGACAGCCGCCGCCTTCGCCGCCTCCGCCGCCTCCGCCACCGCCGCCGCCGCCGCCGCCGCAGCCGCCGCCGCAGCCATTCTGGCAAGCCATCCGCATGTCGCCACCGTCGTCGCCGCCTCCGCCTTCGCCTCCACCTCCGCCTCCGCCTCCACCTCCGCCGCCAGCTGCACCAACAGTTTTGGGACGTCCGGTACCCCCCCTTCTAAGACCTCGACGACCGCCTCCGCCTCCACCTCCGCCGCCTCCGCCGCCTCCGCCGCCTCCTCCGCCTTCGCCGCCTCCGCCGCCGCCTCCGCCCTCGGCCCCGCCGCCATTCTGGCAGGCTCGCCGCATGTTCCCGCCCCCCGCGCCCCCTCCCGCTCCTCCCCCCCCGCCACCGCCGCCGCCGCCGCCGCCGCCGCCGCCGCCGCCGCCACCGGCGATAGACCTCTGGCGCCGGCTGCTAGCCGGCCGTCCCGCCCCGCCGCCACCGATCTTCCATGCCCCTCGCCCTCCCCTGCCGCCGCCATGAAGCCACCCTTCGCACCATCTTCGGTTTTCTCCACCCGGCCTCCTCGCCGTCGGTCGTGTTGCTCGAGCGCACACACACTTTGCGGCCGCCGGGACCCCTTTTAATTTTTAGCTCTTTGACTCGAGTCTCGTGTCTGCTGTAGAATGCGTAGAGAGTTGTGCAGTACAGTTACACGGACACAACATGTATATGCACAGCGCAGACGAGGCTGCTCAGGGTGAGGCTCTATTGCACATGCGCTGCGGCACAGTCCACAGACACGGACGCCCCCGCTAAGCGCTGCCGCTGCGCGCTGGCCGGCTGCCCGTCTGGGGACAAGAGTGGCAATTCGAACATGCAACAACCGTTTCTCACGGCCCTGCTTGCAGCAGCGCATCTCTAGCCGACGGGAGCGTCGCGCCGGGCGGCGGCTGCGGCGCGGGGACGAGTGCGGCTCCGTCCACCGCGAGGCCGGCGCAGCGCGCCTTGAGTGCCGAGCCGCCCACTGCCATCGCGTAGACGGCGGCGAAGAGGGCGATGAGGAGCGAGTACCAGCCGACGGCCGCCCAGCTGCTCAGGTCGAGGAAGAAGTAGGGCCAGAAGCCGCTCTGCGCGTACTGCGCCCACGCGTAGAGGACGTACGCCGTCGCCCAGCCCAGCGTCAGGTAGAAGTCGGCCGCGCGCACGGCGAGCCTGCGGGGTCGAGGGGGGGGGGGGGGGTGACGGTAAACTGAGCCCTGGTCTGACAGCCTGACAGCAAACCCCGGACAGCGCCTGACAGTGCCCGACAGCCTGACAGCGCTGACAGCACTTTCTCTGACAGTCTGACAGCTCAGACGGTAAAGCGCTGTCTTCTGAGACAACCCAGGTCACGTTAGACTCGGAGTGAAGGGCCGCTGCCACGTGCGACAGCTTCACGAGCTCGAGGGCATGGGCACGCGGAAAGGACACGGTGATGATGATGAGGGGAGCTGGATTTGGACACGGGCCCCGTTCTGCTGCTGTTACCTCCGGTCCGCACGGGTACCCCCGAGCTAGGACCAGGAGGCCCCACGGTACACGGCGTCTCCACACTAGGCGAGTCACACACGTGTCGTGATTGGGACCAAAGCGCTGGCTGAGAGTCATGAATGAGTGTATGTGTGTGTGTGTGTTGTCATGTGAGACGCTCCCGGCGGAGCGACACGGGCGTTCGTGTGGCAGAAATCCGCTCGCGCCTCGCAGCTAGGTCGGGGGCTGCGACCCCCTCCCCCGCGGCGGGCCTCGCACCCTCCCGGCGCCGTGCGACTCGGAGGGCAGAGCGCGTGCTACTCTCGGCGCCTCTCGGCGCCTCTCGGCGCCTCTCGGCGCCTCTCGGCGCCTCTCGGTTCCTCTCGGCTCCTCTCGGCTCCTCTCGGCTCCTCTCGGCTCCTCTCGGCTCCTCTCGGCTCCTCTCGGCTCCTCTCGGCGCCTCTCGGCGCCTCTCGGCGCCTCTCGGCGCCTCTCGGCTCCTCTCGGCTCCTCTCGGCCCCTCTCGGCTCCTCTCGGCTCCTCTCGGCTCCTCTCGGCTAGTCTCGGGCCGGTTGGCAGCGCCGTCGAGCAGCAGCAACAGCGAGTTGATAGCGTGCGCCTCAGAGGGGAAGGAAGAGGAATAATGGGGCAAGGGCGAGGCAGCACCTCGCATCGCCACACCCAGACGGGCAACAGCCCCTCTCGATGTGCAAGGCCAAGGGAGAAGGAGGGGGGGGGGGGGGGGTGAC